GCTCTATTTTGGCTGACAGTGAAGCATCTATATGTGTGAAAATACAATATTTCAGGCAACAAGTCACCAAAACAGTTTGAAAATGTGGCGTTATTCTAGAAAACATGACAGTTTTTAGAAAACCAAACATGATTCCTCGACGCTGAATAACTTTCACAAGTGCAGGTGTCATGATTATTATTATTTTAAACCACAAAAAGAAATGTTTGTCTGAAAGGGTGGCTGGAAATATGTCACAGTCAGATTGTATAGAAAAGTAAATGCAAGAAGGTCAAAGAATCAGCTTCCAATAAAAATAATAATAATAAAAAAACAAGTGGGAATTTTTCTCAAGTAGCTTTAAAAATGAAAAAACAAAAAGTTGTTGATGTTGCGATAATTAAATATATTCTATTTATGTTTTTCACTACAGAAGCACTTATTTGGACTGAATTTAGTTTCATCATCAGTCCACTAGCTTGACATGAGAATGCCGATTATTTGCTGTTTAATTGTTGCCGTGGAAGTTGTCGAGTCAATCAGTCTCAACTTTTTTTGAATCCGATGCCGTGATAATGTGAACATCTGCTCCGAACAAACCCCTTTGACGCTCAGCTTTCTCTGTAGCTGCATTGATTTCATCCGTTCCTCCATTACTTATCTGGATCCCGGCTCTATCGGATGATGCTCTAAAGCCCAACAAAAGGCTTTAATTGGCTCGTTCGAGAAAAGCACCAGCAGGCGTTTGAGTTGCGCAGCAAAAATCTGACATATGGGTGACGACCTGGAAACAGGCCGCACTGTATGTAACGGTCGTCTGGTTGTGGTTCACGGCCTCTAATGAACTGCGCTTCTCTCCAGGATCAATGACCAACCAGATGCTCGATGATGGGAGAGAGAGAGAGGGGGAGGATGGTACATCCACCGGCCTTTTGCGTGCGCACACATGTTCACATCGGCGGTGCTCGTCCGCCACAGTCGCTGTGGAAACCATTCAGACTGGTGTGAAAGCTCTCCAAATTGTTTGAAGGGTTTGTGTCTATCTGCGAGTACAACAGAACGAGAGGGAGGCAGCGGCTGTGTGTTATTTGTGTGGTTACACTGTGGCTCACTGTGGGGGTGTGACACTGCAGGTTGCTGGCAGACTCACTCTGCCGCACAGACAAACGGCGAAGGGAAAGAACAACCGGCCTTCCCTCGCCTCGTCCTACCGAAACCGAGGAATAAAAACCCGGGATCGGACCGAACTCTCCCTTCGATCGACCAAGTAAAAACCACACAAACATCACAGACGAAATGTCACCGTTATTTGGTTTATCTCTTCTCGTGTGCAATGGTTCTACGGCAGCACACGAGGCTTCAGCTGAGGGCAGATTGAAAATAACCCCTAATTAAACATCACAGCTGTAGTGTGAGAGTGAGACAGAAGGGCAGAGAGAGTGAGACAGCCAGTGTGAATGTAGAGGGGGGGGATAAAATAAGACATCTCAACTGCTGAGCTCTGTAACACCAGCAGAGACTGGTAGCAGCTGGGACTACGTGTAAAGCTGCCCTTAAAAACAGAAAGATTTGTTCATAATTAACAGCCCCATCAGAAAAAACACACTCTTCTTGCTTTATGTGCCATCCGCTGTCCCTCTTACAGCCGTGACTTTATCTGCATACATGTGGAAGGACTTCTCTTTACACACACACTGTACAGTTAAAGAGACAGACTGTATAAGTAGGTGGGAGTCTGTGGAGAGTGATGGCTGCTACTTGTGATCTCTCCTCATCCACTCTACTTAACACTTTCTCAAACTGTAAAAAAGTCAATGCTCTCCAGCGTATCCCTCCACCCCTACGTTCTCACGGGCACAAAGCCTGTGTGCGCACACACATCCCCAGTCCCTGAGGCCTCAGATGAAAAACTGGGATGTGAAACAGAAATTATTCTCCCCTTTTCTGAAGCAGAGCCGAGGAGGCTACCTTTCATCACTACAACAAAGATCGATTCTCTCACTGATACAGCTGCAGGATCGACGATACCATCATGACCAAAGCATGCGCATTTGATTTTTTTTTTTTTTTCTCAATGAAATGCATGTGCAAATGGTAATTCAAATGTTTCCTAGCAACAAGAGCTACTTAACTGTTGGAGCAACAATGCTGTGGCGATGTCTCAGAGCGCAGTCACAACAGATAGTCCCTAAAGACGTCCCTGCACGTCGCAGTTTTAAACTCATGAAGCCTCTTTTGAGCCCTTTCGCAGCTGGACTGTTGTTACAAGTTGCATAAACGTGAATCGTTTAATCCCACAGAGGTTTATTTTATGTTCTACATTCTGATCACAAAGGGGCCTGTTGCTCTGTCACTTATCTGCGGCTGAGAGTTTTTCCAATCAAGCTGGACGAGGGCTTTAAACACATATATTTTATATATTTTTAATACAGATAAGCTAGACCTGACTGTCACGTCAAAACGAGGAAATATTCAGCTGAACCGCAGCGCGATGAGCCATCCAGTGCAGGTTGAGAACATTTTTTTTAATCTCCGGGGTCAATGCTGATACCAACTATAGGTAATCAGGAAGACTAATATTAAATATTTGTAGAAAAAATAACAATCTTGGTGTCAACATCTGGAATAACACAAACTCCAATACAAGACTTCATTGAAATGTTGTTTGTTTGTTTATGTTTTACATGAGTTTCATTAAAAATCACCATTTGTTCTGCAGCGTCGACAGCAGGTTAATACTTGGCAGGTAACTGGACAGAGACGGCTGCATCAGAGCAAAGGTAGTGCATTTTTTAATTGATTTATTTTATCTGCAATTGGTTTTCAACAAAGGTAGCCGTATTTTGGGACAAGATGGCGGAAGGACGCTGCGGCCCAGAGCTCCTCAAGTTGGGGCAGCTTTTTTATTCTTATGTGTTTGGATTAAAATTTGCACATGCCACTTACAATGTTGTAAATGCTGTAGCGTGTCCTGTAAATACCTCCTCTGCTTTGACATTTTACACTTTATTTATCCTTCCTTTCACATTATTTTATCTTGTTTTATTTTTTTACTTGTGTATTGCTGCCACAAAACGATGCTCCAACGATATTCCACTGCTGTGATGCTGTCTTTTTAGCATCCAAGAACTATTCTATTCAGTACAGATACGCTTTAAAAATGCTAAAACTCGTAGCTAACAATCATCCTGGCTGATAATCAGCTGATCCCTCGTCAGCAAACCTGGACATCATGCAGCACGCAGGGAGCTGAATGTGAGAATTCATGTCTGGTAACTCACCAGCACATATCAGGGCAGAGGAAAGATCATTTTATGTCCTTTATCGTGATCTGCATTGTTCACGCTGCTATTTCCACGTCGTTGCAGAAAAACTCTGTGTGTGCACGATTATCGATGTTATCAGTTTGGACATCTGACAACTCAGTGCAACGCTGATCAGGACATTAGTTCCACATATGAATCACAATAAGAAGAAGGTAACTTTCCTTAATGTCTATTCTGTCTGAAAACTTGGATGCACTTGTGATAGCTGATCATCACTTCAGCTAACTGCGACTGGACTTCTCATCCTTCTCATCCAAGAGGTCAAATCTGTTCAGACACTACAGCTAGCTGTTGCTGTCGCACTTATTGCCACTTCATTTCTTTCAACCTACTGGAGCTAAACACAAGCTGCAGCATCAACTTACAGTCGAGTTGCAGAAAGTTTCTGGTAGACTGACCACAAGTTCTTCTCAGACTCGCTGGACTCTTGCAAACATTCGACTATAACTTCTCTGTTTGTCAGGTTCTCAGTCACCCTGTTCTAGCATCACAAAGACTTGAGTCAAACACAAACTGTATAATGTTGCTAATATTTACAGTTTTGCCTCCAATAGAACAGAAATGATCACAGATTAAATCTGCCTTTATGTGGATTTCTATTAATTCAAACCTCGAATAAAACAGCAACAGGTTTAAGTCACATCTCTGGTAAACTGACCTCTAGAGGAGTTTGGATGATTTAACTGGTTCAAACTAAACCACAGGAGCAGTTTAAAGCCCAGTTTCTGAGCAGTGTGGTTGAAGTTATTGAGTGGCTCTGACCCAACCACAGAGCAGCAGCCCTGAGGTTTCCATAGACACTAAAGACACTGCAGCATGTATGAAGAAATAAAGACATGTTTCCATTTGATGATGCAACTGAACATGGAATCATGCAGATGAACGTTACATCAGCTGTAAAGGTGATTTAATGCAGCGGTGGGTCAAAAAAACAGCAAATATCCAAGTATAGAGTAAAAACAACTTTACAGCATTCATGGGGTTAAAAACAAGAACCTGTTGCTGCATTGACTCGAGTGCCTCTCGCTGTCTGACTCCAAATGAATTTGATTATAAGCCATGAAGGAATTTCAGCTTCTTGTTTGATGAGGTGGTGTTTATAACTTATAGTATTTATGACCAGGTCTGTGGCTGCAGCCAACAAATGTCACATAAAGTGAAAAAAAAAATATTAGAAAGTGAAAGAAAGAAGCAGAAATGTGTGTGTGGCTGCTGAAAGGTATCAGATGTTTTATTTCATTTCTTTTGTTTTGTACTTGGGTAGAGTGAGCTGTGGAAAAGCTCCTGTCATTCTAGCGTCCATAGGGGATGGGCTGCTCCAGGAGGATGCACTTGGAGCTGGAGACACTGCAGGTTTTTTTTTTTAAACTGTGGAGAGCAGAGAGGCTGAGCTGCTGCAGTGACTTTACTCTGATGCTGTATTTTTGCCAACTGTCTTGTGTTTGGTCGTCAGTTTGAGTCAGGAAACAGTTCCATCATATATTTATAACCATATAAAGTGTCATGAATGAGCAATAATTGGTAGAAATCTTGATTTTTTTTTGGTCAATAAACATTCAGTGTGTGCACTAATTTATGTCAGTGACGTCAGAGGGATGTGCGCACATTCTGGAAAGTTTTTGTCAGACCTGATTGAACACATGAACTTGTCTGTTTCACAGCTGGGTTCAGTGATCCTCTCACCACATCTCTCACCTGTTTCTCCAGCGCTTCCTTCCCAGTCGTGGACATCTTGGGCGCTGGTGCGCGCTCGCAGGTGCATCCTTCCAACAGGTAAATCCCAGCAGGTCGCGCGCTTTGCTCGTTCTCGAAGTAGAACAGTATATTCTGGTAGAGGGCGAAGAACTTCTCGTGCCATCGGCTGTTCTCCGCCGCCTTCTTGCACAGGTAGCCGCGCTTGGTTCCCTCTTTACGCGCGACCGCCGACAGAAACAGCGCGTGCCCCTCGTTGTAGCGGACGCTCTTCTGCATTTTGCCCGACGATTCTGAAGAGAGAGCAAAGTGGGACAACCGGAACTTTCACCGCAAGCCCATGTTCGCCGCGGGTTTGCGTGTAAACTTTCCCACCGACTGACGCGCGGCTCAGCGGCGCCGGGGCGCGCGGAAAAGTTGCCCCGCTGACCGAAGCGCTCCTGCAGAGGAACTCATAGTGAAGCCAGCCGAGTGCCACACGCACTAGAATAAATCCATGCTGCGCTTCTATAAGTAAACAAGTAAAAAGCAGCAGAAAGCGAGCGGCGTGTGGCGCGCAGAGGGGAGAACCCTCAAGTGGACAGACAGTGAAAGAATCACAGAGCCGACGCGCTGTAATCGGCTTTGACAGTGGTTAACTCTCTCTCGCACACAAGCGCTCTCTCCCACTAGGTCTCTCTATCTTTCTCTCTCTCCAGTGATGCGCGCTGATCTTGGAGTTGGCGGAATTAAAGGCGGAGCGTGAGTTGGTTGTGTGTGAGAGTGAGAGTGAGTGAGAGAGCTGTGGAGATGCCTAATGCAGATTTTCTCAGTGGCAAATGTTGTGATATGTTTCTGCATTATTAATGGCATCTGATCAGAACACATTAATGCACACATTAATAAATAAAGCAAACATGATGAAGGAAAAGCCTTCTCAACTCTGACAAATCTGGGAGTGACTCAAAAGTTGAATGACTCCTGGTGTCAAGTTCTGTTTCCTTCAAGCTTCCTGCACAACAAAAAGAATCCTGTATCTGGGGAACTGAATTTATATCCAAGTCTAAAGATCTTAGCACCACTGCATGGACTTGTATGAAGCCCTGTGAGGCTCCAGGGGGAGCTGCAGAGTCTGACAAACTGCATTAAGTGATGTAATTTAAGCCAGCATTGGCTGGAACTGAAGACAAAAAGTTTGAAAAGAAAATCTGTCGGTGTGGAGTAATAAAGAGACGACCTTACCAGAGCTCTGCAGCCCACTTCTCATCTGTGCTTTAGCTTCAAGGCCCAAGGCTACATTAGTCAGTACTATCATAACCCACCGGAATCTCTGACCGAACTGCTCAAATTACATCCTTGGTTTTGGAGGCACCATACACTGACCTGCCACTCATTAAAACCACCTGCATAATGTTGCTTAGGTCCATCTTTGGTGGCAAAAGCAACTGTGACCTGTTGTAAGATGCACTGACACCGAACATCTGGGGGGGGTCTGATAGGGTCTGGTACCACTATGGATCCTTTGGGTCATGTGGGTTGCAGGATGAGGCCTCCATGGCTCAGGTTTGCTCCAGCGCATCTCACAGATGCTCAACCAGATTGGATTTGGGGAGTTTGAAAGCTGTGTTTGGGCTTTTGGTCGTGTTCCTCAAGCCGATCCTGAGCAGGTTTTTGCGGTATGTTGGGACACACTGTTCTGCTGGGAAGTGCTGCCGCCATGGTGCCCGGTCTGGGACAACGTTTAGGTGGGGGGGTACGTGTCAAACTAACATCCTCACAGACCCAAAGTTTCCCAGTAGAACACTGCATTGTTACAAGATTATCAGTGTTATTCACTTCATCTGTCTGTGGTTGTAATGTTGTTTCTGATTATTGTATACTGACAAAGAGCGAATGCAAGAAAACATACTTGCATATATTTTCATCTTATTGTCCACAATGTTATAGCAGCACAAACCTACATGAGTGTAGTACTCTTTGAAGCCAAACAGACACAAGTGTGACTTCTTTCTTTATTTAATCACCAAACACACTGATGCCACGATGCAGTGCTGGTCGGTAAAATCTTGATCAGTTGCTGTTAACTAATGACAGCTGGGTTACAGTACACATGATGGTGAGAACCAGAGCCTGAGTGTTTAAAATCCTTTTCACACAGCAGCTAAAAGTGCAGCATCAACCTCCTCCAACACATTTTAGTGTATGTTCCTCTCGGAGTCAGTTTTTCTGCCGAAAACCGCATTAATGTCTTCAGCTGTATGTTCTGCTGCAGCGACGTCAGGAGTTCGACTGCAGCCACTCGGTGAGGGTCGACCTGTCAGAGATGCTCCAAAGATCTGACAGGAGTTTCTTACTTTTCCTAAAGAAACACAGACAAAGAAACTGAAATGTTTAACATGAAAACATCGCACGCCCTCACTTAACCCCACATGTACTCTTACACATGGCTGTGTGAGAGTACAGTAAAGTCCACGTTCTTAACCTCAGATTAGCAGCTCAGCCCCTGTGTGTACGAGTATTGTGCACCGCATGGCTTCGCTCCAGCACAGGACAAACATTTCATATAGGGAGGATTACACTGACAGAGAGGTACGGCTCTGTGCGTCCACTGACAGATATTTCATATGGTTAGGATTACTCTGGAAGAGGCTAAGCAGCACTCAACTCCCAGCAGTCCGTCTGTTCCGGAGCGAGGAGATGCCGTGTTACAAATGTACAGAGACAGACGAGAGCGTATTACGAGAAAATGCAATAGACTGACGCTTTGACAGCAGACTTAGGCGTATTTCCACCTCTTAACTCAATCATAAGCTGAGCGTTTCTGCTCTGCCCCGTAGTGTGTGGTTCATCCTAACAGAAAACCTTTCATCAGCATCAGCAGCGAAACACACACACTTTCAATTCCTTTCCAAATTGGTGTGTGCTCGTGCCTTAAAAGAGAAAAATGTATATATCCAAAGGGAAATAAGACATTTTAATTTCATCAATTAAAAAGGATTTTAGTAAAGTTAATACATTTAAAATCAGAAATTTCAACAAAGATAATCCTGTCCTGTTTGTGCTAAAGCAAAATTCTGCCACAAAAACTGCAAAGTAAAAGCAGATATTTTTGTGTGTTTGGTGCTGAAAAATAAGGTCACTGCTACGTCTATTTGTAAAGCCAAAAGTCTTTAAAAACATGTTGAATAAAGTTGACACCAGAACATCTTTTAAAGTAAACTGAACTCTGGTTTTTCGTGTCTTTTTTTTCTTTTTTTTGCAGCACTTGAGGAGTTTCAAACCAAACATCTTCCTCCCGTTAACTTGCTGGTGGGAATATCTCCCACTCTCGCCTTCATGTCATCAGGTGACAAAGTCTAAAGCTGCTCAATTAATCTGCTTCCCGTCTGATTCTCGAGAAATATTGGTACGTTTTCTGGTTCAGGCATGTCAGCCCAAGGATGAAATCAAGTTCATTTGAGTGTTATAGCTTAAAAAACATTCAGTTTAGTGTCAGAGGAGCTTCGAGTTTTATTTTGTACACATCTGACTCCAAGTTTTCAGCTCTGAGGGTCCATTTGTGCTTAATGATACAGTCGTGACTCGAT